GACAGTAACTGCCAGTATCTGAGAACATGGCCTCAGTCATGGGGCTGGCTGGAGTCCTGGTCCTCTGGGACAAGGAGGGACCCTTGGCGATGTTAGACACCCCTGTGCAGGGCCAGCTGGGTGGGGTGGCCCCAAGTAGAGCAGAGAAACAGGAAGTTCCGGTTCTAAAAGGCCTCAGGCCTCCTGGAGTGCCAGAGGACACCTTCTGTTGAGGCTCTCAGGATGAGAATGCACAGGGCGAGTGAGGTATGGTGTTCATTCACACATGCCACAGACAGTCACAGAATAGACTTTCAAATCGGTCTGCAGGGCTGGGGAAAGGCCTCCACCAGGAAGGGCACTTGCTGCACAGGGCTGGAGTTAAAGAGCCCAGCACCCACCTAAAACGCCAATCATGACCTCACTCAGACTTGTAACTCCGAGCTCTGGGGAACTGAAGCAGGAGGATCGCTGGGGCCTTGGACTACCAGTCTAGCTCCAGGTTCGTGAAAGACCCTCAATGAACTTCATAAGGATAGATGGGGACACCTAACATCCTATGGCCTCCCTGAACATGCATAGGTGCGCGCGCACACACACACACACACACACACACACACACACACACACACACTAGTGCAGAGAAACCTAGACCAAAGTTTCAACAAATTATGGACGCCCTTTATTGAAGCCCTCAGATATGAAGGGAGTCAGGGTTCACAATAGAGAAGTTCCCAAGCCTCCCTGGTCCCTGGTCCCAGCAGAAGCAGGACTAAGCCCAGGAATCTGACCTTGGGCTCCCAGGCAGTCAAACCCTCTTGGAGGTGTAATTCTATTCCAATGTTTTTGTATCTGTTGAGATCCCAGTGTTTTGAAGGTGTAATTCTAAAATGGTACCGAGGCATAGAAGGGATGAGGAGCTGGAGACGGACATTTCTAGGTCCCCAGCCAAGTGAGGGGTTCCCAGCGCTTGCTTCCTTCTCGAGGCACACCCCTGAGAACAGGTGGTAGGAAAGGGGGTTGCGCTGGCCAGGAGGCCATGGAGGTGACCAGCAAGGACACAGTGTCTAGACAGTCAGAGCCTTGAAGAGAGCACCCAGCCAAGCAATAGAGGCAGGATGGCAGACTGAGTACCCACATCTAGTTTGAGAAAATTATATTAGGAGGGAGTATTGGTCGGGGTGTATAAATCTATTTTCTATCATTACATCAAAACACCTGAGCAGTGTTTTGCTTTATCAAGCAGAGTTCTATGTGGTGGCACTGTGTTCCCCAAAATATTGTGTATCTTAATAAACTTATCTGGGGTCAGAGAACAGAAAAGCCACTAGATACTTAAGATAGGCAGTGATAGCACAAGCCTTTAATCCTAGCATTCCAGAGGCAGAAATCCATGTGTTCAAGGATACAGACAGGCATGGTGAGTCATCATGCCTTTAATCCCAGAAAGCAAGCCTTTAATCCCAGGGAATGGTGGTAGAAAGCAGAAAGGTATATAAGGTGTGAGGACCAGAAACTAGAAGCATTTGGCTGGTTAAGCATTTGGCTGGTTAAGCTTTCAGGCTTCTAGCAGCACAGTTCAGCTGAGAGCCATTGGGATGAGGACACAGAAGCTTCCAGTCTGAGGAAACAGGACCAGCTGAGAAGTTGGCCAGGTGAGGTTAGCTGTGGCTTGTTCTGTCTCTCTAATCTTCCAGTGTTCACCCCAATACTTGGCCTCGGGTTTGATTTTATTAATAAGAACTTTTTAAGATTCATGCTACAGTTCTACTTTATAAAGAGTAGAAATTTATTTAGCTCATTGTTCCAGGGTCTGGAAAGTCTGAGGACATAGAAATGGCATCTACCTGGGACCTTCGTGCTTTTCTGTGACATATGGTGAGGCAGCAAGCAAGCTAACTCATGTCTTCCTTCCTCCCTTCCCCCTCCCCTCCCCCTCCTCCCCACTTCCTCCTCCTTAGTCTCTTCCCTCCCCCTCCTCC